GTCTCTGCACTAGATACATATGGGTGAATGGATTCTGATACTGAAGTCATAATTGCGTGTTGTATTGATTGATCTTGCCTCACCCACAAATCATATGGTGAGTCGGGTATGTCATCTTCTGGAGGACATGGCCTGGTACCTTGCAAAAAATCAGTCAGTCGATAAACTCAGAGCAATGAGGTAAACTATCGGCTCCACATGGTATAATTATCGGAGGTGAGTTTGACTAGGAATTGAGCAGCAACAAAGGCTATGATATTGTTTGAACTGGTACTAGTATTGATAATAGCGGGTGTGGTAATCACGGTTTTGCCTGAGCTTGAATTTTGGGTTTTGGAATCGGTGATTTTGGGTGTTTCGTCGGCCATGGTTGTTTGATGTTAGTCCCGCTTGAGACCGTGGCTCTGATACCACTATAAAGACAGAAACTTGAGAATGAAACTGATATATTTTATTCATAGAATTGAGTATCCTATATACACAAGGTCTGCAATTATTTATGGAAATTAAAGATATACAATAATAGAAAATAAATACAAATAAGTGTGATTGATATCCTGCATATAATGCTGATTATATTTGCTGTAATTAGTGCAGATTCACGAGGCAGATTCACGAGCTGTGTTGACAGGATTTGTTTCCATAACATTGGCTACATTTAGAGATTCAAATTCATCAACTAGCTGTCTAATCTGGGCGTCAAGTCTCTCCAAATTGGACTTCATTAGTTGCTCTTTTGCCTGAATTTCATGTTCCAGTTTCCCTTTTTTAGCCTCAAGTGCCTTCAGATTGGACTTCATTCGCTGCTTATTTTCTTCTATTTTACGCTTCAATCTCTTATTTTGCGCCTTAAATGCCTTCAGATTGGACTTCTGTTCCTTTTCTCCAATTTCAAGCTTCAATTGGCCATTTTTTGCCTCAAATGCCTCCATATTGGACTTCATAAGCCTTTCCTTTTCTTTAATTTCATGCTCCACTCGCGCATTTTTATACACAAACTCCCATATTTTGATTCCCTTTGCTTCAATTTGATTCTTAACTATCCTATAATCAACCAAAAACGCCTTTAGATTAAGCTTCATTCGTCGTTCTTTTTCTTTAATTTCACGCTTCAAACTCTTATTTTCAGCTTCAAATGCCTCTATGTTGGACTTCATCTGCTGGTCCTCGTGACATGGCTCTTGTTTTTTTTGAATTTCAGGCTTTAATGGATCATTTTCAGCCACGAGTGATGCAGCAAGCATACGGAATGCTTTAATAAAAGCCGAAAGGATAGTCTGCTTTGTGCTACTTTTCTGACCGCGTACAAGTGCACCTTTTCTTCCCTGAACATACCATATACATGTAAAAAAATAATAATACTAAATAAAAATTTCAAGACCAAACTCATAAAGTGCAAATGAAATGATAGAAGAGACACAGATCTTTTACCTTTCCTTCAACTATACTAGCATTATATGAACAAAACTCGACGTGGAAAGTTTGATCTTCTGGTTCATAGAAGGATGAGAAAAATTCATCTAAGTCAGCATCTTGATCAGATGGTCCCTGTGTGAATGGCTGCGATTCGACTGCAGTGTTTCCGCCTTGCCCCTGAGGTAAACCGAACTCTGGTGACACATTGATTGTTTGTGCAGTTTGGCCTAATTGTTCCTGCAGCAAGAAATCTGGCAATCCATGAAAATTTTCAGTGAACGTTGCCGGCGAGGACTGAGATGTTTGCTGCATTCTACTTGTGCCAGCGGGCTGAGTCAGAGGCAGTGTTGTCGCAGCAGGCTGAGAGCATTGATTTATCAATATATTGCGCTGTGGCCGCCATGGCTGTGCATGTTGAGTAACAGTTTGTTGAAGCTCAGCCACCGTTCGATTCAAAGAGACAAATCCATCCACTACCAGTTTAATTTGGGTCAGAAGTGGCTGCATATCAGTAGTAGATATTTGTTGTTGATTTACAACCCCAATCACATCCAGCAACGACTTGGTTAGCTGTTTCTTTTCTTCTAATTCACACTTCAATCTCGCATTTTCAGCCTCAACTACCTCAAGCTTGGACTTCATCAGCTGCTCCTGTTTATCTTTTTCCTGAATTTCTTGCTTTAATCGATCATTTTCACCCTCCAGTGCCTGCCTTTTATCCTGAAATAGTGAAATACCATAAATATATATTATCTTTCATTTAAAAAAATTAAAGATCTAAGGCTTCCTTTGAGCCCTAGGTCGTTATGGTGCCTCAAATCAATGTGGGATATTCAATTGAGCTACAAGTTATTTTTTTTCCGTCGCTCATATGAAACTTTACCCCTAACAATTTATTCCCATTATTATTTTCGGGAAAATTTTTAAATAGTGGTCTAATCCCACTTCTCCGTATGATTCCGTGATGACTCAGTTTTATATCTTAAATAAGTAAAAAGTGTGCTTACTGAATTTATTATTATTAGTATATTATGGTGTTTTTGAGAAGTCTGTAATACCCCTCTACCCTTTTCAACATCATAGGCTTCAGTCAAATGAATGCAACGTCTTCCAGATTTGAGCTAACAATTCAATGATTAATAAATGAAGCACTGTAGTTTTTTTTTTTTTTCATGGAATGACACATATCATTAAATTAAACAATTTAAAATTAATGATATTATGATCATTCAACAGAATCAGTCTTTCAATCTGGCTAAGAAAGGATCAAATTTAGAACAGTTGATAAACGAGGAGATGCAAAGTCAACAAAACAATAATAAAAAAAAAAGATAATGTGATTTTAAGATTTAAAAATTAATTTAGAACCTTCATGTCAAAACAAAAATAGTTTAGAAACTGTCATAAATCCAATCAAAACAAAATTTATCCCAAAAAATTTCAGCCAAAAAACTAATTGCACTAAATCTAAACAAACTAAAAGAGCAGCAAAAGCAATTCGCTTTTGGATCCCGATTATGGGTTTGGATGCCTTCGGCGCTAGCATGGTGGGGAACTGGTGATTCTCAAAATCAAATGAAAAAGTGGACTTGGTAATGCGAGAGAGAAACGGATGAGCAAGAAATTTTGAAAAGTTTAAAATGGCAAAAAGGTCATTCGACAAAATGACCATCGAAAACAAATAATTTTTTTATACACTAAAGAGAGATTTGGGTTATAAATTTCCACTTGTTTAAAATAGATTTTGGATTCTCCACTGAATTAAGAAGGAAATCTTGACAGATACCCTAAAGATGAATTTTTCCTTTTGCGGATGGAATGAAATTGTAGATGCTTTGTTACTAATTGTACAGCACTAGATTTGCCTGGAGTGGAATCCTAGGCATCCCACATGAGTTTTGGATTGATACAACACGCCTGTCCACTATCTCAAAAAAAAAAAAAAAAACCTTTATACCGTACCTTTATTCCCTAACCCAAAATTTTTTATTGGGTTGTAAGACCATTTTCTTCTTCTTCTTTTTTATGTCATTTGATATTTCAAATTATAATTGGTTACTTAAATGTTAATACATAGATCTTTTTTTTTCTTTTCTTGGTTTCTAGTTGTTTTTTATTTTAATTAGGTCTTTTTTTCACAAAGATAACTACACCACGACGACGACCACCACCACCACCAAAAGAACCTGTATATTTTTTTACTATTTTACACCAAGTATACCCAAATTTATAATCACTTTCTCTAGAGACAGAGATGTTTACCCTTTGTTTGTCTCTGTATCTTTTATCGTTCTTTCTCTTTTTGTCACGCCGTGCTTCATCACTATCTTCTCCAATGTCTCTTTGTGAATCAGGATCCCCAGTGGCAGTTGCCAACAACTGCGTTGCTGCAGCAGTCTGATTGCCTTGACTTTGATTTATCCCCGACTCTTCCATTAAATCTGCAGGTTGACCTAACTGTTTCTGCGGATCATGCTAATTGCTTTTATCCATGGAAATATTCGGAAGCAGCTCGTTGAAACTCTTATCATCAGGATTCACTGCTTCAAATTGAGATGTTTATATATCAAAATTAATAGGAGAAAAAGTGAAATTTATGGAGGGATCAAACATTTATTACAAATATGTCATTACGAGGAGAAGCAAAGAAAAAAATTTTTTTTTTCATGAAATTGAAATTTTACACTTACAGAATTGTCCTCTCCATTGTCGGCTTGCCCATTCTTCACTGGCTGGACCCCCAATTCCAGAGTTCACCTTGATTTTATTTTAGCTGGGGGATCGTGAGAATAGTAAATATATATTCAGAGGACCGTTCGATCATCTGTCGGGTTGCCCGTTCCTTTCGTTCGACTTTTATTTTCTGACAAGTCAACAGCGGCGTGGTGCCGTCACAGAACGTGGTGCCGTGTTCACTACTGCACTTCAGAATGGGAAAATGATTCAGATTTTTCTTTATATAATTTTTCTATGAGCAATGCTAGCAACACTCGCCATTTGCACTCTCCGACCAGCACTTCCAATTTCATTGGGCCACGTTATGTTGGTGAGGGGAAGTAATCATTTTATACCCGAAGCAAGCTTACGTGGCCCAATAAAAAAGCACGTGTTGGCCGGAGAGTGCAGGAGGCGAGTACCCCTAGCCCTGCTCTTTTTCTATAACTATACGCGTTTTCTTTTGTTTTTTTTTTTGGTAGAAACCATACGCGTTTTCTAAACATTAGTTATTTTCACTCAATAATAAAATTTGTAATATTATATATTTTTATTTATTTAATAATATATAAAAATGAGATAAATTTTGTCATCTTGTCGTTATCCATAGTAATACTATTAATTAATATTATATGAGAAAGGAAAAAAAATCAAGAAATCTTAAATATGATAAATTTAATCAATTAAAATTTATATTATATCTCATGTATTTAATAATTATAATTAGACATTTTAAAACTTTATATATATCCAAATGTCTTTTTTTTTTTATATTGTATTTACATACTACATTATTGAATTATAATAATAATAGATAATATATTTATTACATAATTAGGATGTATTTGGAATTGCAATTATAAGTTTTTTCTTATAATCGTATAGTGTTTTTAGAGAAATATGTGTTCGGTAATTTTTTTAAAACTACTTTTTTTAAAACTCGTAAAAAATCACAATAGATGTATAACTATTTTATATATAAAGTCGAAAATATCATTATTTAGCTTTTGGGTTGTAACTTTCATAGACAATATTTAATATTTAATATAATTACAAAATTATTCACTAAAATCAAATCTCATTTAATTCAATTATATCATAATTTATAATATTTTATTTAAACTTAATCTCTTAGTTATTCAAAGATTTTATAAAAAATTAAAAACTCATTCTCTCTTTATAAGTTGTTATTTTATGAAATTCAAAAAAACACTAATTATATATTTTATCTATAATATTTTTAAAAAATAAATAATCAAATATTAAAATAATTTTTAATCACAGTTGCAGTACAACACAATTCAACACAATCATAACTATAGTTATAGTCAAGACACCTTATAACAATCCTAAACGCACATTTAGTATTAAAATGAGTAAGGTAGTTTAGTTCAAAATAATTTATTTTATATAAATAATTAGGTTTAATATATATTTTTTTATTATTATATGTAATATTATATTCTAAAAAAAAAAAAAAAGAGTTCATTTTATTGTTTAATATAAGATATCTAAATTCAACAAATAATTATACTCACTGGAGGTCACCAATATGGACAATGTGACAAAAGTAAATTCGTTGATTACAGCTATGTTGGATTAATGGTAGCGGCGTTTTGAGTTTTGCGGGAAGAGCTAAGAAGAAAATTTGAAACTCAAGGGGAAGTTTTTTGTAGCGTTACTAAGAAATTCAATTGTCCAACATCAATACTTATCAATACTTATCTATATATAATTATTAGTTGTTACTGTTATTAAGCTTCAAAATGCTTTAAGATTTAAAGACTACAAAAAAAAAAAACTTTAGTCGGATTGAAATATCTTTTAATATTCATGTCACTTTTTAATGATTATTTG